TATATGCATTGTGTGTTTTGTGTATTGTTTGTCAATGTGATTTTCTGTGTTATGTATTGTTCAAACAATTTAAAATAAAGTTTTTAAAAAATAAAGAAGAGAAGGGCAAGAGGAAGGAAAGCCAGAGGAAAAAGCCCTTGAGAGAGAGCGCAGGAAAAGAAAAAAGAGCAACAGTAACAGATACAAAGTTGGATCATCTTGGTGAAACACAGGGAGTGGGTTTTTTAATTGAGTTTCAAAGTTTGTTTCAGGAGTTGTAAAGTAGAATATCAATAATTCCACAGGTCAGTTGCTGTATGACTCTTCTTTCTTCTCACTAACGATTTATGATTTGTTGACGGGTTACTTTTGTTCATTGTGTTTATATTGTGTTAACAGAAATATCTGGTTTGGAGTATACCGTGTCGGAACCACCATTACCGTCGGCGTGTAGCACGCTAGTGCACATGCAACGGTCTCCTCTTGCCACAAGCAGCTCTTCCCAGGAATCTCAGCTCCCAGTGACCCTAACCCGGCCAGTGGGCCGGCACAAACAGGGTAAGGTTTACAGTGGTCATAATAGTAATACTGTTCCCTGTTGCCATGTGCATTTATCATGGCATAGTCATTGTAGTAGTTGTTGAAGTTATGAAACTGCGGCCATAATAACAATACAAACATTTCATTACACAGTAGCCTATATCTATAGGCTAATATACATCTCATATAAAATGTCATGAATACTGTGTTGACTTGTATGTTTCCCTTTGTAGTTAAAAGGAAGCGGGATTTGTCATCTGGCCTTCTCTTGTTTATGGAGAAGAGGCAGGAGAGGTTACTGGAGCATCGCCAGGCCATGCTTCAGCTGGAGCAGGAGTCCAATGATGAGTTCAAACGTGCTTTGGACAGCCTAGAGCAGCACCAACATGGCTAGGCTTGATAGGCAGGAAGGTGACGGTGATGGAGACCAATACAAAAAGCTGACCATGTTGTGGTATGTTGCAGCCTACAAGTTTTTTTTGTACCTTTGATTTTTTTCAGAGGATATTTCCTACTTTTATTTTGTATACACATTATTTTTTATAAGTATATTTTCCACGCTTTTTTGTAAATACTACTACTATTTCTTGTTTATAAGAATATTGTTCAGACTTGTCTGTTTTGACATTATTTGATTTGTATATAAAATAAACAAAAGTTATCTACAGTCTATGAGTCTGATCCAGTGATTTTATTGAAAAAACGCCCTGCTGATCAGTTCATGTTAAAATGTCATATTTCACCACCAGCAGAGGGCAGCAGAGAGCCAACAGTTTATATGGGAAAATTAGTATAGTTTAACTTGCTTGCATATTTGTACTGGTTTTAAGAATGAATTAAAGTTGCCTATCTCTACCATAAAAATCAGTATGAGCTAATACTTAGTTTAATAGCTAATCCACACTTTACTTTTATTTGCGATAATGGTTGCTTGCCATGGGAAGTTTAAAGACTAACTCACCATCAGAAACCCCTGTATGAAGGGAAAACTATCAAGAAAAACCTCAATGGGAAGAACCAAAACTACAATTCAAACTCAGGACTTTCCTGTTGTGAGTCTTTCTTTATTTAGCATTATCTAGAAAGCTTGAACAATAATGTTGTTTAAAAACTCAGACACATGTTCAGAAAGCAGCGCTGAATCGTTTCCTACAGCAGTTAACATCCCACCACATTCTCACTGCGACACCTTCTGAGTTTTGAAGGAAATTGCTCCAGCGGTAAATATTTCAGCTTCAGTTTGCCTCCCCTCAGACTGATGGATTGGCTCTGCCCGGCCTACATGAACCCTGTCATTGATAATGGGTGCAAAGGCCTTCGGGTGTCATTTCCAGTTAAAGAAAAGGATCCATGCCTGCACAGCAGTATCTCACATATTTAAATAAATCTACATATTTGTAGCATGGCTGAACCCACTTGTATATGAGTTTAGTTATGCTGGCGGAGGGCGTTAGAGAGTTACATGGTGGGATTTATAACTCATGAGTATTCCATGTGCATTCAACATATTGAATCTATATGTGTGAGGTCAAAACAGGTTTGAACACAACTTTCTTCAGTTCCTACAATTGGGTTGTTTTCATTGTGGTCCAAAAGCAACTGCTCTTTATTCTGTGTCGTTATCCCACGGCCCCAGCGCTGTCCCTTGTCAGGTGTTTGGAGGTGTGTGTTGTTTGGAGGTGTGTGTTGTGTATTCTGCCCCTGTGCCAGCTTCAGGGGTCTTGCTCCTAGCTCTTTGATGTGTGTGTGAGGACAGGCCAACGGCAGAATGGACAGTCACAACAACAGCTGCTCTCCCCCCCCCCCAGAACACCACCTCCCGTTCTGTGGAGTGCTCTCCTGAAAGCAAAGAGCCTGAACACAAACAAACACACACTCACAGAAATAATCGTGTGTGTGTGTGTGTGTGGGGGGGGGGGTTACCGAACTACCAGCAATACTAAGAGAGTGTCTGAAAGACGTCATAGTTCAGAATTCATATTACTTCAAAGCACTTTGCACCTCCATATTGCAAGACACACTTACAATAAAATGTGAAAGATCTGAGAAGAGAACAATATCCATCTTCCTATAAGAACTTCAAAAAAGAGAGTCCTCCTTATGCTGCAATAAACTGCTGGGTAAATGTCAATGTATGTATACGTGTACCATGAGAAATGTCTCGGTTAAATGATATAGGCATCGCAGAATGTACCTTTGATGCCATTTCTTTTTTGGTCAGGGCTGTTATGCAGAATGTTCTTCGCTTTATGATTTATTATGGACATTGTTTGGAGAAGGAATCTTGTGAATTTAGTTTGTTTCAGGTATTTGTGAATGGATTTTGCAATTGCACAGAGCTTTGGCAATACTGTATGTAAATATGGTCATGCTGATAAAGCTCTTTAATTGAATTGGTTTAGGTAGTCAATTATTCTTCCAAAGATTATCATCTTGTTAGAACTTAATGTAGCACTCATTTGTCCACTTTTTTTTCGAAATGTAAATGAGTCAACACTTTAAAAAAAGGCCCTAGTTGTAATGCTTGTCAATAAACAGACCATATGAGCCGTGGGTAAACTGTCTCCTAACTCCTTTGTGGATTATGTTCTTAATGCTAAATTGTCTTTTTATCTTTGGTGTTATCTCTCTGGAGATGACATTTACATTTCCTTTCTCTACAGCTATTTGTCCTTTTCAGTTCAGTGCTGTTTCTGCCTGTTTCTCACCCTGTGTATCTTTTCCCTTAATCTCTCACTTCCTGTCCTCCTACTGTACGCTCTTGTCCTGTTAACTATCCCACTGCAAATTCTCAGATGTACTGCTCTAGAATATTTTGGTTACGCTGTGATTGAATGGTTCTGCCTGGCCCATCTGGAGACTTAAGCAGGAGAGTGCCATGTGGCGACTCTAGAAGAAGCTCTTACGATGATGACAGTATTTTAACGAATCCCGTGAAATAGCAAAGTGTCGATTTTTACATTCGTATTTCTAGTATTTCTACATTGAAATACCTAATTGTTCTGGTAGTAAGTGTCCCATCCCGCTGCCTGTGCCTGTGGGTGCAGGTGTTCTCCTGGTGGCTGCTGAGCATCACCAGTTAATTAACACCACTGGAGTGTGTCAAGAGGATGGGAAGGCAAACTGCTGCTGTTGGCAGAAGTGGCGATTGAGTGACTTTTTCAACTTAATTTTTTACTTCAAAACCGAATGGGTCTGCAATATTATGGTTGGGGTTCATCCGCAGCCCTTGGGTAGAGTAAACCTCCACACAGAGATATGCACACATGTGTACCTCATTGCTGTGCATGCCTTGGGTGTCAATTTGTGCTGTTAATTGTAATTTCCACTGGGGATAGGGGGACATTTACAAATTCACATTCCTGTTTTTGTCCCCCAATCCAGAGTGTTACGGTTTCGGATTTGCTCTCCTAAATCTGTCTAATTATATCTTCTCACTGTTCAGCTGCTGAAATTCAGATGAGAGAAAAGAAGGTGATAGGAATCAAAGAGTCTCCTTAGATCATTATGGCTCGCAGCAATACATTTAGTGGTGTAAGGACTTCATTTGCCCCGGGTTTTACCTTCAAGACTAATTCGAGGTTCAGCCTGCAGCTTGAGAAGGCTCTAGACCGAGCAGAGAAATCCTGCAGACTTCTCTGCGTGTTTTATTTAGATCATTTGAGGTCTCTACCAGCACAAACTAAATATGATTTTAAGTAACATGTATTAGTAACACAGCATTTCTAACTTTATGTGGTGTGATGGTTAATTCGTCAATCATAATTTGTGCCATTAAAATGTTTCCTGTGACTTCGTGATGCAAGTTTTTTATTTTATTGTATTTATTATTTTATGCATTTGTATTATTACTGTTTTTTCTGGGACCACGATCTAATGGGGTAGGGGTGGGGATAGGGGATGGGTATTTGTCTTTCCTTTAACAGACAAATTGTCCTGTACTTTATATAATGTGCTGAAAGTGCCATGTCTGCAAAAAAAGTTAATAAAAAGATTTTTAAAAAAAAGATCTCATTAATATGCTATTTTCTTGATTGATCAATTTATAAAACTCACTCACTCAAAAAGTAGGGCTTTTTACGTAAAAAAGACAGTGCTCTACCAATACTCGACAGGCCTGGCATCCTGTCGACGTTGATTTGTGAATAAGTAGTATCTGAGCTCCTGAATATTTTTGGATTAGGTGACATTACATGGTTACACTGTATAATCCTCTGCCAGCAGCAGACTCAGAGTGAGGGTGTGATTGACACAATGCGGTTTGCATTGCTGACGAGCAGCAGTGACCATTACAAGAGAAAACATGCTTAAGAACATCAGAGTTGAGAGCGGCTCCCAGTTGGTGTCGGCAAGCTGTCGTTGTTACCTTCATCTGTCTCCAAGGCCGAATCCTTTCAATGGCACTAAGGCCGCTCTCAAACCCACACAGCAGCAACACTGTGCTAAAAAAATAAGATAATGCATCCCGATACGAATTTATGTCACAATTTAAAGTCATTCAGATTTTATTTTATACAAAAATATTTTACATTAGAAAACACAGCTTAAAATATACACAGTCCACTTGGTTATGCATCAACTGCAGAACCTTTCAACTCAAATATATCCGTCTCTAGGTAATATATATCTTTACAGCAAGAATAAAACACGTTTTTATTCTTCAGAAGGAGCTAGGGGTGATAAAGTAAATGTCCATCAGTCCAACAAAACCTCTATAAACTCTACGACCTGATCGACGCAATGTCAAATAAACAGGAATATTATTCATCTAAATTTAATATAAAAGATACAACCAAACTAAGAGCGAGGAATGCTTCAGAATCTGAGTTGGAAATGATGAATACGTACATGAGCAGAAGTTCCTCTGTCCATCCATCCTTACCGCTCTCGCAGTATTGGTGTTCACACTGAATGTTAGGCGGTTGAAAAGTGTTAGTGGTGCACACGGCAAAGTAAACAAAAATTACTTTTATAATTGCAAATATCCCTGCGACCATCCTTGTAAGGACTTACTATGTGTTTATTTTTTTCAAAAGTCATTTTTCAGTGTTTTAAACAACCCATACAAATTCCTATCACCTCCACCTTATTCGGGTAGAGGCAGAATCTTGAACCATCTACTTGTTAATTGGAACTAATTGTAATCAAATGTTGCGAATTGTACGTACTTTACGTAATAAAGCCTGCCTACAGCTCAGGATGAACCCGTCTGTACGTGAGGCCTTGCAGAGGTTAACCTGCTGGACATGAACACAAATGATTACTCTTGGAATACGATTCTATAACCTTTCCCTTGAAGAGATGAGGCATTTCAGTCAATGAATGGGTTGATGTCCATGAGGTTGAATACTTGCATCATGTAAAATAAATAACAGCAAAATAAGCTAAAGGATACCGAATGAAACTGGGAAAGGAAATATTCCAGTTTTTGCTTGCACTGAGTGTCCATTCATCCTCCAACTATCAGCTCAGGAACCTCGTCCCATGTTTTGGCATCATAGCAGTTCAGAGCGGAGGGCCAGCGAGAGCGTCCAGAGGGGGGGCAGCAGCCACAGGGGGGAGGGGGAGGGGCGGGTGCCTAAAGGGGAGGCGGAGTCCGAGGTGCAGGAGCACACCTCGAACCCGTTCTCTGCGTGGTCCGGCTGATGCTGCACGTTGAGTCTCGTCTCCGTGTCCGGAGAGTCTGCCTGCATCTCGGTGCACAGCAGCCAGTCTTTGGCGATGGAGCGGGGGTATCCTGCCTCCGCCTCCATGTCGCTGCTCGGCACTCGCCAGTACTCCTTCCCCTTGAAGAAATAGGACGAGCCTTCAGAGAGAAAGGCAGAGTGTTGGCCTTTAGAAATACAGAGAATTACAACAAAGAAAGACAGAATAAAGTACAGTTATTTTTACCTTTGCCCTTGAGACTGAAAGAAAGGCAACAACGATGCCATTTGAGTATTAGAAGGAAGAAAACAAATATATTAACAAGATAATTGAGAAAAACAAATATATAAAAAATACAATGGATGTTCTCTAGCTGCTTCCTATATCCTATTTGTGCAAGTGTTGGCATTAGAGCAGCTTGCTTTAATATCCACATAAGGAACAGGATTGTTTTTGCAATATACACAACAAGCACATAACACAGAATAAAGGGCCTTAATTTCATGAATCACTGACCCTGAGTGTTTATGCATACCACTTTCACATACCGCATGCTACACCTGTTTTAGAGGGAGTGTGAATAATTTCCACCAGGCTGGGATTACAAAAGATACATTTGTGTTTATGGCCCGACATCCATCATGGATAACCGTTTCCATCAACAAGACATCAGTGCAATCCCAGTAGAGGTTTTACCCACAAATAACATTGACACATCAGCTCAAAACTAGCATGAATGATTTCCAGAGCAAATGAAGTGTGAATGTGCCATCTTTATCAAATCAAGTTGAAATCAAGCTGTCAGATGAATCATGCATATACCGGTACTCGGTTGTTGTAAGCAAGAAATGGCTGCAACCATGCATCAGTGTGTCCCTTTCACACAAACACAACACGATTAATTCATTCCTGTTGAGTGCAATGATGCCTCCCACAAGAGTCCATGAGAGATGGTTCATGTGTAATAAAGGGGGTGTGGCCTAAGTACTGGGGGCAGAACTGATCTACAGTGAAATAGGAGCCTTTTGTTGATAGGCACCAGTCACTTCAACACCACCTTAAAACTAGTAGCTAATATAACTGCAGAGTGAGCCCCCACATTCAAAGAGACTAGATAACATTCCTTGAATTAGAAAAGGTGTATTTTGTTTTACAGTTTAGAGCAGGGGTGTCCATATGTAATGAGAAGTTTCAGAACTGATTCGGCCTTAACTGGTAATATTTGTGTTGCTTTTACATTACTATTTTATTTAGTTTGATTCATATTGTGCCACCATAGAACAGAGCAGCCCACTGCACTGTGCCAGCTGATCATTACTGACACCACCAACCGTGCCTGTCCCTTCACTTCAGGGTGCTTAAGTTAATTAGAGTTTCCTAATTACCAAATGGACAATGGTAACCGCTGTGCGCTTCGTATGAAAATGCCACTTTGTAAGAACAAAATCACCCAAATGCCATTTGCCATTATGAAAACAGGTTCATAAAACTATTTGCGATACTTATTTTGTATTTGGTTTCCTAAACCATCAAAAAGGTGTTTGTTAACTGAGTGATGTAGGCTGTATCCTGAGACAGACAAGAGGGGAAAACTAAACAGTATTTTGGCTCATTTTTATCAACAGGTGATTGAAATGGATAAGTGGCGCAACATTAACAAGTGAAGGAGCCGAGTTAAGAATGATCCCTCTGTGTTAATGGCCTTGGAGCTCACCATTAACTGTGATAAATATTTATGTGTATGAATGCTTGTCTCAATTAACGTAATAATATTCTGTGGTATTGGATGAAGTAAGTCAAAGGCGTAGGAGAACGTAGGAGTAAAGGGCAGAGGATGATTAAAGCACTTAGTCATCATCATCTGGTGCTGTCAAGTCCTGCACTCCAGGGGAATATTTTTCCAATAATATTTGGGAGCATTGAGTTCTTGCCTCTCTTGCAATGCCTGCATTACACTTTGAACTCCATATTGTGAACATTTGCGCTACATTCGTCTATCCACAGTTTGGCCTTGATAATAAATGCCAAACAAATGGCAGACTCATCTGTGATCTTTCAAAAAGCTACTTAACGTTTTTACTGGACTCACTGTTGGGGAAATATTTTCCAAGTTCCATAACTTTGACCCAGTTTATCAGTTCAAACTGTCCTGACTGAGCACAGGCACCTGTAACCTTGGCTGCTGTGCTCTCAGTGTTCTGTCTCCCTGTTCCTGCCTGTTGGCGTCAGCTGATAGAGGTGTTATGATTCTATCTTGTTATGCAGCATGTTGATTATTCTCTCTGAACTAGCTAAATACATGGGTCTGGGGTAGAGTTCTTCAGAATTGACGTGGCAACTCTACCGTGAAGTCAGAACCTCTGGCTATTGTGACTTGTGATGTGAATTCTCTGGCCGAAGCTCCAAAATAAACCAACAGTGTTTAACATCAAAGCTCGCCCCGTGTCTCCTTCCTGGGTCGGTGAATCCCACTGCATTGCTACACAGAAGTTTCTCCCACACTCACTTTTGAAGGAACAATGAGTTACAGGTTTATAATGGCCTTTATTTATCAGAACCCGCTTAATGTTAAATCTGTTAAATTAATGATGTCCTTTGTGATGTTGACAATGGGTAAGAGCTATAATTCAAATAGATATAATGTGAAAGGTACGGTAGAAAAGGATTTGTGCTGGTCTTGGCATTTCACTGTAAAGAGCCTCTACACATTTTAAAGGGTGAAGGACTCTAGTAGTTCATTATCAATGCATAATTGTGAGAACATATTCAAGCCGGGCTGCAGCTGGCTGTAATAAATATCAAGTCTGCTCTTCAGTTTACTGCACGTATCTTATCTATAAACTTCTGAGGGGATATTTCTCTGAGTATTACCCTAACCAAGTCCTGAAATGTCCTGACCGAAGCCCTTTTCAATGTTGATGTATTATCCCTACTTGTTCTCCATGTCCAGAGCTGAACTTTATCCTCACAAAGATGGCAGTACAAGAGAACACACATCCACAAAGCCACTCTCCTTATCCATCTACTGCTTTTATTGGAGGCCCAAGCGCACAAGGCTCAATGCCACTTTGCTAAAATGCTTCTTTCTATTCCTCAAAGACTGAAAGTCATAGAGCTGTCCAAAGTGGTGAATACATTTCATATCTCAGTCGGTACTTGCTAATAAGCCGTGACTCAGAGTGAAAATACAGTTTTTATTCAGATTCTAAAGATGAATCAGTGGCTTAATTAATTAAGCTGATGATGAAACTTATCTTCCTTTGAATACAGGCCTCATCATTGTCCAAGAAAATCTATTTATTGTGTAATACGTTTTCGAGACTTGGATAATGGTGATTAGATTTTTTCTTTATGCTTGGTCGAGACAGACTGATCTATAAACTCATTACCGAATTCACCTGAATTGAATTTCTTGTTTTCTGTTTATCTTTTGTTGTGTGCCATATTGTTAAAGCACTTTAGGCCGCATTCTTTGCATGAAGTGCGCTTTACAAATAAAGCTTAACTATAACTGAAATATTAAGGCTCAGACTGGTGTCACTGTTTATATTTTCAACAAATCACATGAATATTTCATCGCAGCAAACTCATCCTGACATTCATACTTAAGATGAAACTATTTCAAAATGGGTCACAAAAATATTGTCAGCTCTATAAAGACTCAATGTTTCTTAAAACTGCTGGGTGCCATTTGTTTAACTGTTGTTACTCAACGGGAGTCCATTATGTATTTATTAGGGACTCTCTGCCGAACATGCAACTTAGTATTTTCTGTAACAAAACAGTTTTTGATCAATTTGATATAACTTGTCAGTATCACTATGATTTAATCTAATTCTAGTCTATTACAATTCACATTTTCTGTCTGTTTACCATCTTTGTTTACAGTATACTATTTTATTACTGTGTCCCATTGTTCCTCTTTCTTATTTGCAGTATTTCCTGGGGCTCCAAAAAGTTGCCTATTATCTTAAACCCTTCATTTCACAATCACTGCAGGATTCACTTCCTGACTTTATGGCATAGGTTGTAACTTTGCCTCTGCTAATGTGACACCATTTCGGTAATGGATGTTGACTGGTTTATGTCAACTCCCTCTTAAAAGACAATTTCCATGCCTGATACATTTGTTGTTTCTTTATATTTTTCTTAAAAGTCAAAACTATTCCTGGGTGCCATACTAATTCCAGCCGTTATGATTATTATCATCGTAACAGCTTCATTCATGCTACGTTTTTACCCGCAAAGCAACAATTCGATCTTGTTTTACTGCTTTTCTGTCTCTTTTTATCTTTACTCTGAGTCATTCATCTAACTAATGTCCCGTATTTTTCTTTTCTTTTCATTATTAACTCTCTTCAACCTCAGGCGTCACCATATCTCCTGTCTGGATTGTCTTTTTCTCGTCTGTCCATCGAGATCTTTCCGTTCTATTTTCATAAATACGTGTCACCGTATCTCTTCTCTTCTTGCTGTCATCTCACTTTCTTCTCACCCCCTGTCTGTCTCTATCCCTTTTTTCTCTCTCCATTCATCCTGAGCTGGTGAAACAGACAGAGAACACACTTTGATGTGGCTCCAGTTCCCATGCCCCATGGTCTGTCTATGTGCGTTTGTGCTTGAAGGTTTCCAAGTTTTCCCTTCCAGGCTCTGTGGTGATACTGGTCAGGGGTGAAGGGGAGTTGGGATTGGGCTCCTGTCTCATTCACACAGACACACGCCCAAATGTACACACATCAAAGAGCTTAGGGCAAGACGGGAGACAAAGCGCAGACTACTAAACAACTGATAAGTAAAGAGCTTCCTCCTATTTGCAGGCGGCATGGGGGATTAGAAACATCCAGGCATCACATTTCAGGACTCTGTGGCAGTTCTAGGGTATTTTTAAAGATCTAAAAATGACCAAGCATCACTCAGACCTTACACACACGGGGAAAAAAGTTGCACAAAGTTTCTCAGACGTATAGTGTTACTCTGTTTTACACCTCTCATTAACATGCACATATGATCAGATGACATTGAAGCTTTGATGGTAGCAGGCGTTGTGTGAGCTTGACACTCAGCTGCTACAGTGGAGCGGCTCACTGTGTGCTCACTGGGCCAGCTCCAAGGTTTCAACGTGGTTGACTTTGTGAATGTAAATCAGACTGTTGCCAAAAGAGACCACGAGTTTACTATGTCAAAATAACACATACAATATTTTGACATGCAAAACAAACAATGAGATGCAAATTTGCCCCTAATCTGTATACTGCAGCTTTGCCAACAGGAAATGTGCATGGATACAACCAGGAAGAGTGCCAACATTTTTTTAAACAAAATGTCAAGACAGAGTGCACTGTTTGAATGATAAAACATCCTCAACTTGATTGGAATGTTTTCCAGGTGAAATGTTGTTTTCTATAAACTACAGAAGAGTAATACACGGATTAAAACTAACCACATGTAAGACGTTGTTGTGCGATTATTCTGTATTCAAATGAGAACTAACTGTTAAAAGCTGTATTCCACTCACCCATCAATCTGTACTTTATGTTAATAAATGTCAACCAAGATTTGTAGAGTGCTTGAGCTTCATGCTTATGTCAGCATGCTCAAGATCATAATGCTAGCATGCTAATGTTTAGCAGATCTTATGTTAGCATAATCATTTTTGATGGTAGGCTATAGGAAAAATGCTTGTGGGGGGGCATGCATGTATGTATCATGTATCATGACAAGCAATATATCAGTCTTAGGACATTCAACTAAAAGTAAGAAAGTAACGTAAAATACTGCAAAGTTGTAAAGATCTTGTCTTGCTAACTAGCTAAATTGACGAGCTAGCATTCAAGGTAAGGGAGGTAGGAGCGTGCCACAATAACGACAGTCCCTTCCGGTCACAGAGTCCGTTGGGACTTCACAATACAAGTTTGAACTTTATGACATTTCAAGACAAATCTAAAGAGTTAGATTAATTCTCTGGGGACCATGAATGTCTGTACAACATTTTATGGTAATCCGTCAAATAGTTATTCAGAATTTAAGTCTGGATGAAAGTGATGGACTGACTCAGCAAACAACATCCTTGGAGTCACGCTGTCGGCTAACATGAAATATAACAGACTAATTCAAGCTAGGCACAGTGTTTTACTGCTGGCAGGTAGTTGGCTCAGGATTTTAACCTGATAGTAAAACTTCCTCCAAGACTCCAAGCTACAGGTTTTCTAACTGGCATAACTGCTCCTTCATATTTCTCTTATAATTCATTCCATTTCCCCTGAGAAGGATATTGCACAGTCTTGCCTTTGGCACCAGCAGACACCAGAGCCACCAGTGGTCTGATTCTCTGGTGAAGTGTTACAACTAAATTTTTCTCAGATATGTAATAAGTCATTGCTGGAAGATAGAGACATAGGGGGATTCCTTCTTTCATACCTTGTATAAATATGTAATCCATCACTATGTCTTTATATTCAATTTTTAATGAATACAGAAGAGGTCAAAATATGTCACTGCCCTCATTCTAAACATCCTTTTCACTCTGGGTGATGGATTGGGTGAAAGTTAAGGGTATGAATTCCATTCATTATTTAATGGAATAGTAAATAAAATCAGGTACAGGCTTTCTGGCTATCACCAAACAGTTTTTTGGCTGTCAGCGTCTTGGATTTTTGGAACCAGAAGTGAAAGAGAAAGTGGAGTTATTTACAATTGGATGAGGAACAAAAGACTTTGAGTCAAGCAACATGCTACAATTAATTTGAATAAACTGAAAACACTAACTGCAAGGGTTAATGGTATAAGACACAGACAATAACCTAAATCACGTTGTATTTAAGGAGATTAGAAACTATTGATTGGACCATTAACACATTCAGTAAATGTTTAGTGAGGTAATAATATCAAGAACGTCCCAGGGGGATTTTCTCATATACCTCTATACAACCCAACTTCCTTTTGCAACCAGTACTGGACATTTGAAAGAATACATGTTAGTCAATTGCACATTGCTTTCACTTTCAAGACCCAGAGGTCGCTGCTTGGTGTCAATATGCAGCTATAAAAAATAATGTTCTTTTGGCTACTCACCATCAGACCACCTTATGGCGTCGTCCAGTTGTGGCGGCAGCCCCTTCCAGAGCGAGCTGTCTTTAGGGTATCCCAGGTCCATTCGTCTCAGGTGGTCATCGTAGCGCCAGTACAGGTTGTCCTTGAAGAAGTAGGTTTTCTCGTTGTGTAGCCAAACAAAGGCTGCATCTATTACTTCCAAGGGTAGGCCAAAGTCACTGATTGGACGAGGGTAGCCCTCCTCTACGTTATTATCCTTAAATACCCAGTACTTTAGACCTGAAAAGGGTGGACACAGAAAATATACCTCATCGATTTATAGTTTTATAAATCACACGCAACCGGCAGTGTATGCACTTGCTTTGATATATATGAATAGATTAGAGAACAGAAATGTACATATGAGACACTTGTGAAATAATGAAAAGATTAATAACTATGGCAGCCAGTGGAAAAATCTGCCAGGAACGCTCTTATATAAATGTATATCAAATGTGGTTCTGCAACCATGTGTTTTAAAACAAAAGTTATAGCTCTTTATAGCACAATTTCCTTCAAAGAGCCCTTAAGAAAGGTGTGGACGGTCTTATTTCATCTAGCTTCTTTAAAGTGTGGATGAAACACATTTTAAAAGCGTCTGCAAGTCACCAGAAGTTTAAAAATAAAAATATTTTCTTTAACTCTTTTATCTAACTTGTGACAGAAAAGCAGGAGGAATAAAAAGAAAAGCCTATTGTTGCAGATGATAACTTATTGAACCAGCCTAAATTCCGGTACATTTTAAGACTCATTCCGAGATCTGAAACACGTTGGAATGTAGTGTTGTTTTTAAGTACTATACCTTTAAAAAATACAATTTTATGATCCCCAGGCCTCTCATACACAGCATCCACACCGTCCAGATTGGAGGGGAGGCCCCTCCAGAAACGATGGATCTGAGCGGGGCGCAGGGACACCAGGTGCTTCTCTCTTGTTAGTCGCCAGAAGTACTTTCCTGTAAAGGAGCAGAACAGAACAGACATGAGGATCAGCACATTTCAGGATGCTGGTACCAAATAACAAGGCTCTCACAGCCATTATATATATATATTTTTATAAACTTCCCACGGGGAAACTTGCAACAATGCAAATGTAAATGGATGTAATAAAGATTAGCATGGTTCATATTGTCATTGGCATGTTTTTGTAGAAGTACTATGCACTGTGGAAGTACATTTTCAAGGTTGACTATTTTACTGAATGAAGGGGTTAAATTAAATTAATACATTAATTACTGTTAACTGCAGATGTTATTAATTAATTATAAATCTTAATGAAATAAAGGGCATTAGTTGATTCCTTTCCTCTGCAGCTTGTCCACGTCATCATCCCCTTTATGAGATTGTTTGCAAAACTTGTGACTTTTTAGAACAGCTCACCAAAAAGAAAGCCTTATATTCCATCAAAATCATCAGACAATAAGCAAAATAAAACAGCTGCGTTTTGTCTCTCAAGGATTTGTCCAAGCGAAACAGATGTGGCAGGCCGATACAACCCCAATGTGAAAGGCTGTCAAGAAGTACCGAAAAAAATCTACATCTTGATTAAATGAAGTGTAAAAAAAAAAGTTAAAATCCTCTCTTAACTTGTAATCTAATCTCTAGTGACACAAGATGTAAAAGGGATTCAAAGGATGTCAGCTAAAGTTCAGCATACTTTGCTAACACTTCTGCCGCTGAAGGTATGCAAGTCTGTTTCGTGTTCCTGTTGTCAGTAGGAGTCTTGGGGTCATTCCTCCAGAGGGCAAGCATGAAAGCCTGATGTAACTTTTGGACTGCGATTTCTCAGCAGGGTTCAAGCGGCTCAGTCGGGTGTCTGCATCTCCCCCGCTCTCCTCTTCATCCTCTCTCCATTTTAAATATGCTTTTAATTCCACTCATTTAGCTAATGTCTTCTTGTGTTTCCCAGGCAACTCTGTATTGTGTCTGTCTTTCTCCCTTTGTGACTCCGTACCTTTGAAAAAGAAGGCCTCTCCTCGTATCTGGGCCACTGCATCAAAGTGGCTGGTGCATCTGTCTGGGGCATCACGAGCCAGCCTGAGAGAGATGGGGAAAGTAGGAGGAGAGAAGATTGTGAAAAGAGGAAAACCAGAAAAACTACTTTCTAAAAAAACTGGACACTTCCTATTTTCGAACAGTTAATACAATATTGTTTCTGTGCTTTGAGACCTTATTGCCAATCATCTAAAAATAATTGATTAAGAACATATAAAAGTGTATTTGCCAAAAACTATATTAACTTTTTCTTTGAATTCAATATGTATTGAATATTTTCAAGATCTTTTAATGCATATACATTTGGTTCAGGCTTTTATTTTGGGTGCATGAATCAAACCTGGCTGAATGACAGCCCCTCTGTGCATTTACCCCCGGGGTTTTTAAGTGATTTAAAGCATTGACGTGGCCAGCCTGCCAATGATGGAGCCATTAGCACCGCAGGGCTGAGAGTGGGAGCCCGCCCAGGCCTTATATTACCAACAAAGGTCTCCATTCAAAGCTCTATTAACACTACACCACTGCCTAGTGGTCAGCCTTGGTGCCCTTGTCAGGCCCAATCCAGCTTTTTCACGCATCATGACCTGATGGATTCAGGAGGAAATGATTAATGACGGCAGTTAAAAATCTAGTTTGATATCCCCACCACTGCCTTTTTAGCTTAGCCCTCTTTCTCAGCTGTCTTATTATTACTGTAGTGGGTGTGCATGCACATGTCTGTTATCTGAGAATAATTAGTATTTCATCCTCCTTCATTATTAAGACATTTTGTCTTTGGTCGAACGTCTTGGGGGCTGTTTTAAGGTGAGTGCTTGGTGGTTTGTGCATATGTGAGCGCGTGTTTGTACATTCAAAATACATGAATGGACAAAATGAAGCCTAATTATCCTTGATAATCTGAAAAACTACAGGCTGATAGCTGCCCGACTAGCTTTGGGGAATTACTTAATTAGACGGGCAGGCTCCCAAGCTCACTCTCAGCCTCTCTGCTAATTTGATTTGTTGGCACCTCATGACTTCATATGAAGCACCAGAAAAACTCTTTCCACTATAAATGTTCAGGATTCCTACATGCATTTGTTACATTGAATCTCTGAGGAAGTGAGAACAAAAGGAAGAAAATTAAAAAACAAATCACAATGTAATTATGCTGATGTACAGGGAACCATCGGAGAAATGGAAATCTCTTTATAATGAGGTCCAAAACCCTGCAAAACAATGTGGCTTCCACTAGAATATAGTGTTCTTATGGAAGTAGCTCAACTTAATTAAAGCCACTTTTTTATGGCTGTGTTCAAATGCATAGTTGAAGGATTGCTTGTAAGGAAAATAGTGAACATTTAAAATGTTTGTGTGATTTTTTTTAGACGCTTATAAGAAGCAATAAGACAAATAAGCAGCACATGTCTCAAAGAAGCTGGTAACTTAAGTGTTGTTTTTGAAGTAAAAATGGTATTGTGCCATCCTAATGTTATTGATACTCCTATCTGCTGCACCTCTCAGGCCTAACAGCACAGTTGCCATGTTAAATGGGATTTACAGAATGAGTAAAGGTCAGAAAAATCAGCTTTCACACAGAACTGCCATTTTGGTGCAAGAGTAGGATCCTAGCTATATATTGAAGGGTATATAAAAGTAGTCAGTTTAGGTTTTTAAGTGTCTTAGTAACACTTAAGTGCTGTCTTAAGGGTTCTTAAGCTGGAAACATGTTTGAGAGTTAATTGAGTGTTCTTAAGACAGCACTTTGTTTTTGTTGCATGTAAAAGATTCCAAGTATCTTTACATGTTCTACTTACAGTAGAGTAGATCTGTTTTCAGGAAGGTCCAGCAGTACCGGGGGTTCAGCCGTCTGGGAGGGGTTGCCTGGTCGGTTTGTGTGGGACACCGAGTCTCTGACACCTAGTAAGACGTCAAATGTCATTAAATATGAACACCTCATCTTCATGTCTTTCATCCTCTTTCCCAAATTGATATTTTGTGTTTCTTTTCTGTAGGGAATGGTGTGATAAGGTCTTATGCCCACAGTGAGGTCCAATTAACTCCATACATGTTTCCAATAAATCAATAACCTTCCTCTACAGAGCTCATACGTTGCTGCTTCCTGTGTGGGGAGGCGTTTGTATCTGCAGTGTGCTGAAAAATACCTAATTACAGAAAAGGCTCTTGAGTTATGGTTAAAGAAAGAGAATAAGATTCTGTGTGTATGTCTTTGCAACTTTTTTGTTTCACAGCACTATGAGACCCTCAGGAGAGGCTGAAATATCTTCAAGATTCAAAGGTTTATTGTTATAGCATATACACAACTACGGTGTGAAATTCTCTTATGAATCAATTACCGGTAAGCCAAAATGTTAAGTGGCATAAATGACATGTTCAAAAGCTAAAAAATACATGTACTGTACAGCCAATGATGACATTTCTTACTTTTTAGGTACTTTAGAAATACTTGGAAAGTGTGACTGTAGAATAAATTGAACAATGACTCACCACAAAAGTGATACATGCCGTTACTTCCAATTATAAAATGGTTTTCATAGTTACATGACCACTTTTTCTACAAACATCTTCTCCAGTAGCAACCAATTACTGATTGTTGATGTGTGTGTACTTCTTTTTAACACATTCCTTCGTACCGTAGAGCTGCCAGACGCGGACCTTGTCTTCATACGGAAGGTCGTATTTCAGAGGGTCTCCTACAGGACCCTGGTAATACGGTCTCATGATGGACTCTATGGCTGAGGTGTGGACCAGGCCGATGGCGTGACCAAACTCATGGACTGCAACCGCAAACAGATCCATCCCATGAGTGTCTGACGGAGAGGGAGAGAAACATGAGAGTTTACATCATGTGGTTGAATATGATTAGGATACAGAAATCCATATAAAAAGGTGAAAGAACGACAATTAAAAAGGTTATACTAAAAAGTGTTGTTTAGAAAACACATGGAACTGTGGCAACTTCCCAATTTCTGTCAAAGTAAAATTACAGAATACTTGTTGGTAAATGCTCAATAGAGTTTTTCTTTTTACAATCCTCCATGAAACATTATAAATTATCGAGCTTAGTGTTGACGCTGTTGCAGTTTTGACAGTACGGTAGTTAGTATGGTTACAACTGCGGTCCTCCCATAAAATAGGCGACAAGATAGTGACTGATGTGATGTGATAACCATCATAATCTTATGCCCTACAGTTTTGCGCATAGTTACTAGTTGTAGAGTAATGTAATCTGGTATATTTTCTTTATATGAGACTAATGACATTTTTCAAATAGCCAGATGTGTTGAATGCATTGCTTGGTATGTGTGTGTATGAGCAGGACATGAAACATTTTTAGTACATTGTTTAGGAAAGACTCAATGGTCACATTCACCAATGTACCCAATATGCGTCCTAAATTGACCCCAGTCAAACACGTTTTCAGGTATTTGATCCTCTTTCAGTTCATCTGCTCATGGTGCAAATAAGAGGCATGACAGACAGCTCATGAGGCTTTGAGTGCTGCAAGGCATGTGGTGTAGTGAGATAACTACGATGAAGCTGCCACGTCACCTCGGCTGGCAATCAAAACCTGAGTGTGGAGAGACACCTGAACACCATAAAAGCATCCGTTCCTCTGTGTTCAGCAAGAAAAGGAATAGACAAAGCTTCCCAAACTCTTTGTCTGACTCTGCCAAGCAAGACAAAACCTGGGGCTCAGAGATTTAGATTTGCAGAAATATGGAGAGCTAGCGTGTCGGGCCGAGCCAGCTTAGGGTTCCTTGGTGGCTCAGCTGAAGTCTGCATTCGGTTAACCTAAGGTTGGCCTCGACGTGGGACGTGCACTCATGCTTATGGTACCCAGCTGGGGTTTCCAGGAGGCAAATGCCAACTCTAATCTACATGAGCACATGGGGCAGAGTGGAAAGGTGGACAAAAGGAAGGAGAGAGAGAGAGAACAGGGGCTCAGAACAGAGTTTGTACCATGTAATCATATTCACGGTCCATGGGAGGCTGACAGACTGATCGTAAGGCCTGTGGACAAAGTAGGAGCGCAGAGAATTGGGAGGATGAACTAGATTCATTTAGGAAGGCAGAGAGATAGAGATACAGGAAGGACTTTTGTGTATCTCCACACAATATTACATCTTACCAATGAGCCATTAAGCATTTTATCCAGCCAAATGATTACATTGCATGAGGATTAAGATACTTCATTTACTAGATCTCAAAATGTTCATGCGTTCCATTCCTCCCGTCCTCAAAAACCAGGATCACAGGATAGGAGGGTTTTGATCTTAGGTACCTTTGAGAAGAATAATGCCTGGCTACTTCAAAAACATCACAGAACTCTTAGTGGATGCCCTGGAGTTTGCCTACAGGGCAAGCCTGTTTGCTGAAGATTCAGTCAACAAGAGTCTGGACCATCTTTAACAGCCTGGGAAGCCATATAGGGAAAATGTTTGAAGACCTACAAACTTTATAACAGACCTCCTGGTCTCTCGGATTGCATCAGCTATTTTATTTAAATTGTTATTATAAATTCTTACACATTTATTTAATCATGTTGCACCATTTAACTTATAAAATGCTGCCACTGGGAGCAAACAACGGAAAGATATGAAATATTCCCCTGCAAACATTGGGCTTTTATTGTGAAAGGTAAGAATGGAAATAGTCAATGTGGTATGCGCTTCAAAATCCATCACAAGAGAAAACAATATATACAAGTGACAAAGCTTTGTAAATCAAAGTAATTCTGTACTTTATTTATATATGTCGAACAATGTAAAGTTTTATAGTGGTATTCAATAGGATTTAGATTGAGTGCAAGCTTGAACTATGATCACCGATCTATGTCATCTATCAGCAAGGTAACATCAGCAGCAAAAGACAGCTAGCAATAACAAGGTGTTAGAAATAGTCTCTACATAAAAACCTTACCTAGTGATAAGACACATCATTCTAAGGGCTCCAAGTTCATAGAAAGTACAATTTGTTTTTAAGGGTCACTATAACTCAATCACCAAGAATACTCATCAGATTAATGCAACAGGTCAGGGCGTACAGCTGGTCCATTACACTGGTGTTGCCCATAGCCAACAGCCAGTCGACCATTTCGAAAAAAGCATTGCTCTCATGGGTTGAGACCAAACAACACAAATAATTGAGTAACCAGAGATCATTGCCAACAGCTTCCTCATTCTCCAAAATATCTGCCACTCCAGGCCAAAGAAGCTTGGATCCAACATCATTAATGACCCCCTCCACGCACATCATCCTCCACGCACATCATCCAAACTCTTCCTCGCAGGGAGCAACTTGGAGCCAAAACAGCCAGGCACACAAAACAGTTTCTACTGCTCCTCATCAATACATCTGCTCTCCTCCGAAACTGGTAAACACGATGGACAACAGCACTGCAAAATGTCTAAATATTTTGCTACTAATGGAAGGGTCAGTAACTACCTCCTACTTTAAGACAGGATGGGCAACAAACGGACCTGAACCGTTATACTAATACTCCCACATGTTGGAAGACATTCACTGCAACAAGAAACATAATGGACCAAATCAGAAACAAAGGGGTAGATTTTGCATTTTGCAGTCAAATAAATGTTTGAAGAACACTAAAGCAATAGAACTGTACTTCACTTTGACTCAGGGGTTTTTAATACAGCCAGTCTTCCTCTCCCACTTTCCCAGAGGAGAAGATAAGGGCAGGATGTGTTTGGAAACTCGAGGGAACTTTAAAGACACCGGCTTTGTGAGAAAAAAATGTGGATTGGAATAATATTTTTTTCTGCAACCTCGTGCATAAGGATGCCGAGACCATCCAGGTTCCAGATACAGGAGAGTTAAAGGTGAAACTGTTATGATTCATTTCATTTTGTGTTTTGCTTATTTTGTGAAGGTCTGTTTTTTTTAAAGTTACATTTCTAGTTTGAATGTACTTCGTCACATAGTTCTATCTCCTTCCCTATTCATAAAGCAAAGGCACTTTTCATAAACCACTATACAAGAAAGTTGATGAGAAATGATAACACGCAAACAGATAAATGGGCCCAGAAAAAACTTGGGGCACATACTATAGATCATTAGTTTATGTTGTTGATGATTCACTCTTCTTTAGCTCTTTAAAATAACATTGACAATGAGCTAAGCAAGTAACATTTAGGTACATCCATTGTGTCAGACCTTATATACAGTATGACGAAATCACCTTGGTTTATAAAGACCCTCCGATGCACCAGGTACAGATAATTTGTCGTTATGAAATGAATGCAGCGCAGAAAAGCTCTCCATTTATTTGTGATGCGGTACGCAACTACAGTGGCCTCCAGTACTTGGTTAAACTTTGTAAAGGAAAATAAGTATTTAGCTCAAAGGTTAGCCTCTACATTTGAGTAGTGCAAATACTGCAATGCTAGGGCCTATTATTATAGCAGGTTGCTAGTGTTTATTTATCTTAAAATGGTGGCCTATTATGCAAAATCCACTTTTTCATGTATTTTCTACATAAACATGTGTCCCCTCTGTGTAAGGAGATTCCGAAAGTTTCAGGAACAAAGATTCTCTCACTTTTTGTTCCGATCCATTTCTATAAAAACCTGTCTGAAAATGAGCTGATCAGAGTTTGGCCACTTTATGATGTCAGAACGATTTTTTTGGCTTGTGTAACCATTAGCCAATCACCAAGGTAACCCCCCCCCCCCCGTATCACCGGAATCTCCTCCTAGAGAACCATTGTGTTATTTTTAACCAAATATCTCTCAGAGGGGCGTGGGGAGTGGCTCCTTATTTTCATATAAAGTAACAGAGAATCAGCACTTTGGAAACAGGGCTGAAACAGAGGGGATTATGGGATGCTACAATGATCTGTTTGGTATTTGGAGCCAAACACTTAATTGACCTGTTTTGTATATATCTGAGACCTTGTTACGGCTGCTGCCTTCCTGGTCGTCTGAGTGTTTTCAGCTGTGTGTGTTCTATGTAAATGAGCTGTGCGGTTGCCCTCCCGGCATTGGCTGCCATCTCCTGGTCCCCCCCTGAAGATTGCGATTGGAGCACACCGGGCCCGACGCACTCCAATCGCAGCGCACAGCCGGCGCACACCTGCTGGAGATTACTACAAAGCTTGGGGACAATCATCATTCTGGAGGCTCTGTATGTGGACAGATGCCTCTCGCTACTTGCTCTTTGTTCTGGGGTTAAAACTTGTGTGATTAGTTAATGTAGAGTAGCTTAGTTAGTGTTTAGAGTAGTTAGGATTCTGTGACGGTTGCCTTTAGTTTAGCTGTGTTTTGTATAGATGCTTTGGTTAGTTGTACCACTTTTAAAGTGAGGTTTTGTTTCGTTCTTTATTTAGTATAGTATTTATTTTCCCTGTATGTCTTTAGACTCCTTTCTTAGAGTCCTCCTTTTGTTTGGTTATTTGTCAACCGGTGCCCTTTTGTTTGTTTCAGGCTGCTTGCCTGCCATTTTGTTTACAGCTGTTTTTAAATAAACGCTTATAATTAATACCAATTCCACTCTGGTCGTGTTATTTCCCTTTGGTTCCCCTAGCCCAATAGGGAACGTAACAGACCTATAATACTGTATATTGATGAAAAACAGTATAATAGGGGACCTTTAATTGTAAAAAGGCATATTGGTTTTTCAAATGAGTGTCATTCAAAAAAACATTTTGTTTCACAGTTGATTTTAATTCCAGGTTCAGGAACACAAGAAGTGTTCATAATAACATCAGTGCATTATAAACTCAGACAATTTATCAGTTCCTCACGTAAAAGTAGTAGCAAGTGTCAGCAAACATTTTCTGTGCTTTGTA